GCAAGAAGAACATCAATCGGCTGCCTCCTGCACACCCCCTATTGGAGACTGAGTGGGCAACCCGGGCATGTGCCCCGACTGGGAATCGAACCCGTGACCTCTTGGTGCATGGGCCGGAGCTCAACCCACTGAGCCACACTGGCCAGGAGGTAGCAGGAACGATTTGTTTGACAGACTGTCTGAGGCAGGGGTGGGGAACGTCCGACCAGCCAGCCACATAAGGCCCACAAAACCATGTGGTCTGGCCCTGCCAAGGCAGTAGGGGTGAGTTAATGAGATGTTTGACCAAATAACGCAGGCTGCTTTTTAAGTGGATCATTTTGTATGGCCCGCGAATGACGTTATAAACATCCCAATGGCCCTCCCTGCCCCTGGTCTGAGGAGACGCGTGTAATAACCAGAAGCCGAGGCCACGGGTCAGGCTACAGGGTTTTTCTGTGAATCTGGGGGACAAGGCTGAGCTCGCTGGACGGCCCGGGAGGTAGTGTGTTGAACGCACACAAACGGGGCCAGTGTTCGCGGAGGAAGTGGAACCAGATTCTTCCTACAAACCCTGTGACCCGAGATGGGATGCTTGCCACGGCGACAGCGTCCTCCCCGCCATGGCCCTTCCACCCTCCGTCCGGGGGGGGGGGGCCTTCCGACCTTTCCTAACACTGTGGCCCGAGGCCTCTCCTTCTCGAATGGAGGTTTCCTTCTGACCCACTCGGAGTGCCTGCTCAGCGCCAGGCCCTCGGGCCCCAGGGGTTGAGGAGAGAAACACAGTCCAGAATGGTCCAAGGAAGGCAACATGGGGAGCCGGAGGGCGCCCAACCCCGTCTGCAGGACAGACAGCGTCTGGAGAGAGCAGGGAGCCGGGCAATGGTGTGGACAGGGGGCAGGGTGAAGGTCCCGGGCTGGAGCCTTACAAAGACCTCATCCTCAAGAATGCCTCTTGTACCCACACTCAGAGGGGCTGCCTAGAACCTTCTCAAAGCCAAGGGGTTGGAGCCGGGCTCAGGATGGGGCAACAGGATGAAAGCCCGGTCCCCACCACCTCTGTAAGCGGAGCTGCCCCTGGGTGTGAAAGCCCGGTCCCCACCACCTCTGTAAGCGGAGCTGTCCCTATACATGTGAGACTTGTTCGGAGGTCTCCACGGGCCTAAGGAGGCGGGAGTAGAAAGTGGATGAACTCCGGCACGGGCATTCCAGACGGCTACGGAGTCTCGTTTGCTCCCACCTCAGTTGGAGGAACGCCCCCTGAAGCTGTAAGTCTCCAGAAGGGTCCCCAGAGGTGGGCGGGGTGGGCAGGAATTGTCAGGAAGGAAGGTCAAAGACCGGATCCCACACAGACCTGCCGGTGGCCCCGAATTCTGTAATCTGTTCCATTCCGTGTTGCCAACGCAGGCACCCAGGGGCCCAGGTCTCTTCTCGCAGGACACCCACCCGGAGCATCATTGGGCTCCACTGGCACCCAAGCACCCCCTCCTCTGTGCACACCCCCTTCAGCAAGCCTGTGCCGGCCCAGCGGGAGGCCAGGCAGTGTTCGGGAACTCATCCTCGGGTCTGCAACAGAGCCTGACACACAGCAGTCCCTGTCGTCAGCTGCAGAGAGAAGGGACAAATAGGAGGGGCAGGCTCGGGACCAGACTGAGACCAGGAGGCAGGAAGGGCAGCTTGCAATGAACCAGGACACCAGGTCCATGGTCCAAAGACAGGCCCAGGTCCCTAGCCCTGACGCAGGCCGAGGAGATGCCTTGAGGTCATGTGTGGGAATTACTGGCAGAAACCTACGTGGTGTTCCCACAGACTGAGCCCTATTCTCAACTCTTGAACATGAATTAACTCAGTTAATACTACACGTCCTCATGAGGCCAAGGGTATGATTCTCATTTTCCAGGGGAAGAAACTGAGGCACCGAGCCCCTAATTGCCTGTCTATGCCTCTCACCCCAGCAGCTCTCCAATCACCCCAACGTGTCAGGGAAAAGAACACCGGTTTTCAAGTCCGACTCTCTGGGTTCAAAGCCTGGCTCTCCCACTCTGAGCCCCGTGGCTACAGGCGAGTCCCTTCAAAGCCCTGGCTTCAGTTTGCTCATCCATTCAGTGGAGCCAACGCAGCTGAGGCAGAACCAGAGCTGTTTCGAGGACATTAGGGGTGAGGGGATGCGGCAGCTGACCTGGAGAGAGATGTCCTGCCCCTCCCCTGACCCCTCCCACTGGAATATTAGATGCTGAGTCATCGCCCTGGCTTCCTTTGGGAGGCTCAGGGAACTTGAGTCATGCCTTGGATGGGGTTCCCTGGAGCTGGGTCCCATCAGAGAAGCACAATGGAACCCTTCCTTCCCATCCACACCAAGGCAGCTCAGGCCGGGAGGTTCCGGGCACCCTAGGGGCCCCAGCTCAGATCAGATCTTCAGTCCAACCTGGAGGGGGCAGCCTGGACCCAGCAGCCACCCCTGGGCAGGTAGCGAGGGAGGAGGGAGGAGGGAGGAGGGAGGCGGGAGGCGTGCGGCACTCTTTCTCGCCAGACTGCTTCTGTTCGTGACTCAAGAACACCTGCTGTACACTAAACACACGGAAACACACGAAACCCGCCCACATACTGTCCGGGACGTTTCCTCAACAGAAACTCCTCGAGATCGATTGACTTCTACCCTCTGATAGCATCTCCAATCCCTCCAATCCCCACAGGAGCGGGGTCTGGAGAGGCAGGTTCCAGTGCTACCTGGGCTTTGGCGACTTGCTCCCTGTCACTGGGCCTCAGTCCCCAGCTGTAAAATGGGAAGAAGGGGGACCAGCCAGGTGTGCGAATGTGTAGCTCCATCCATTCCAAGTGATCCAAGCAACGGCCGGCAGACCTGGCCTTGCCGGCTGCCCCAGGAGAAGCCAAACCCCGTGCTGTCCTGTCCGCGGAGACCACCTGGGCATCCAGTGCCCGAGCTCCTCCCCCGTGCCAGGCCCTGGGCCAGGCGCCAGGTGACAGGGCGCGGCCAGCACAGCCTTCCTCCTCACCCTCCTGCAGCTCATCCTGGAGGTCACAGGTCAGGGGCACCCCAGCTTTCACTCCTGATACCAGATCCCTGTTCCTCCGGAGGTGTCTCACAATTCCTGACTCTCCCTAACCCGCCCCCAGCCTGTGCCACCCCAGCACTGGGCACCCAGGCCTGTGGTCTGTGCCTCCCCCACTTCTCCCCTGGCTGGTGAGCCCCTTGCAGGCAGGCTCTGGGCTTGCTCTCTCTGTCCCTTGCTTATTTCTATTCGCCTTCGGGAAACTTAGTAAAGACGCTAACAGGAGCAGGCAGGGCTAGACGGTGTGCCCTGAAACCGGGTTTTCATAGCACGAAGGTTTGCATTTAGACGTTTGTTCCTTCGAGGTGGCTGAGAAGCTTGGTACGGCGGGTGTGGTACGGGGGGGACTGAAGCCCTCCCCTTGGCCACCGGCCGGGTTCTCTTAGAACAGCGGTTCTCAACCTGTGGGTCGCGACCCCTTTGGCGGTCCAACGACCCTTTCACAGGGGTCGCCTAAGACCATCCTGCATATCAGATATTTACATGACGATTCATAACAGTAGCAACATTACAGTTATGAAGTAGCAATGAAAATAATTTTATGGTTGGGTCACAACATGAGGAACTGTATTTAAAGGGCCAGGAGGTTGAGAACCACTGTCTTAGAACATTCCATCTTTCCCAGGAACCTAAGGGCACCCAACAACCTCAAGTGCCCAGGACATCTGTGAAGAGTTGGTCTTGGCCATGATAAGGGCTGCCCCACACCGGCTGCCAGGCACCTCCCCCTCCCCCGCCACAGATGGGGGCTGCCGCTGCCCGCAGGGGTGTCTGACAACAGAGGCAGAGGCGACAGACAGCAGAATTGGGCGGGCGGGGGGAGCTTGTATGTTG